GCTATTTGCTTTATATGCAATTAACGGGAAATATTAAATGTAACAGATTTACTAAAAAAATAAAGATCAAGGGCATATATAAATTCTAGATAAATATATTTTATGTACCTCAATTAGGGATTGCCAATATGTTAAAATGTATTTTATGTATCTTGATTAGGGATCACCAATATGTTTATTGGGTTATTAAAGCCATGAATATGGATTTTTCGCTCTTTTCAGTGCTATTGTGGCATTTACAATTCTTATATCCCTTTATTGTTGTTTAATTAACAAGATACACTGACTCTTGCCTCTTTGGTTCTAGTGGGTTATAATGATAAAGGGGTTCCTCAAACCTTGTTCTGATTGACTGCTAATTAACCGAATAGCTGTGGTGATTGAAAGTGAACACGACGGTCCTGAAGCCCTTTCGAGGTTCTTCAAAGCTTTACAGCAATGTCCCAAAGCAGAGAGAGAATCACAGCCGAACGATGCACTCAAAACAGAGAGAGGGTCAAAATCAATTGCCGTTAGAGGCGAACGGTGCACTTATATCTTCGACGGCGAGACTAGTTCGATGGTAAGGCACTCATCTCATCTCTCTTCTCTTCCTTTCGCTGTGAGAGGTTACTGTTGCTGTTGTTATATATATATATATATATATATACTAGAACACTTGATAACATGCATGAACTTGTACTTAGCGAGGCTCGTATCTGAGGCTGCTTCAACGCTAATAGAACCCCCATTTTCTTTCCTGTTTTGATTGAATTCTTCAAAAGTTGGAAACTTGAATTTTGAAGAGAACTCGGGTGTCTATTTTTGGTTAAACCCATCCGAAAATTCATTGTCTTCTTGTTTGGATTCGACCCCTGTGTATCCACGGTTGTAACTCTGTTTTTGGATCAATAGGAATCAAATCTTTAAGATTGTTTTCTGCAGAAGAAACCTCCAATTGGTTTGAATTATCCTCTGATGACCTGTCATTTCTTTTGAATCTGTAACAAACAAAATAATCAGAAACAACATAAGATTTTAAAACAAGTAAGATTTTTTTAATTACCATAAAAATGGAAAAAGAAAATTGAAGATAAAAGTTTTGAAATACCTGATAAGGTATCTCTTGAAGAAATCGAAAAGAGGACAAAAGTAAGTGGAAACAGAGAAGCAGAAAATGATGACAAAGAGAACAAATTTTTGGTACAAAAACTGTGTATCATAACCCATATCCACTGAATCGAAATGGGTATACACCACACAATTAACCATTCACTCACCTATCAAGTTAGTGTCTTATTACTGATGTACTTTAGTTGTTTGTGTATATATCTGTGCTGATTCAATCTTATACTTGTCTCATATCCCCTTTCACATGTTATTTGATATTTATTGATGATTCAGTTTTCTTTTGGGCTTTAAGTATGACATTGTTTACCTTTGATCTATAGAATGCCCTTGTGTTATGCCAAGCTTTTTTCATCTAATAGAATTCCTTTTCTTATGCCAAACAGAGGGAACATGATGACTAAATTGCTGATAGCTTCTGGTGGACAATAGAGATAACTGAATAGAAATGGGAGGCTGTTGCTGCTGCTGTTCTAAAGGAGGGGGACTGAACAGTTCGCCACCATTCTATCATGTCAGTAATATCTCTCACTTACATAGAATTATTTTAATTGTTTGGTATCAACTGATTCTAACCTTTATAGCTTTAGTAGAATTTTGTGCCTAGCATAATCCTGGTTTACGTGGCATAGTTGTTTTGCATATAGGGTGAAACATCATTTTGCTATCTAGAATTTATTCTATTTTTGGATTCAACTACTTAATGAGATGATAGGGAACTCAAATTTCTTACTTTACTGTCATTTGCCAGTGGTTACTTGTATTGAAGTTAACTATGTGATGCTTTTTTCCCTTTTTAATCAGTAATGGTATAGTTCGGATTAATTTTATTAGGTTTTGGTGCAGAAACTACAATTTTGTTTCCTTATGCAAGCTCTTGTCAGCTAGAAGATATTGAGGGATCTTTTGTTGCTTTTGAACTTGGGAATTTGAGGCTTTTCCCAAGTCTAGAGTGAACTTGATTTGTTATAAACTATTTGAAGAACTTGGTGGACATGTTCATTAATTTTCCTTTTTCATCAATTGTGTGCTTTTCAATCTTTATTATCTTGGTTGTGCATACATGATTGAAGAGTTGCGACGGTAACAACTCTAGCTGCTTTTTATACCATGACCATATGATGTAGCTGCAAACTATTTATCATGATCACCAATGCTATGAGGATCCTCTTTTTCCCCATGTGATGTAGATGCTAAGCTACAAACTTTTTAGCATGATCATGGATCCTATGGGAATCTTCTTTATGTCAGTACTAAATGAGAATCAATTTTTATCTCACACATACAAGCCTTTCACATTTTATTGGAACTAAACTGTAATAACCCTCATCACTGCTTACCGATAAACATTGATTACCGTCAAACTGAACTGATTATGACTGATAACTGAACTGATTATGACTGATAATAATCTGCTTAACGTACTGAACTGACTGACTGAAAACCGGAACTGAATTGACTGAGTATGTATGTTAATTTGCAGTCTATCTGTGGATTGATTATTTGATCTGTTTGTGTTTTATGTTTAAACCGTTAATGGAAGGCCTTATCGGCGACCGAATCCGGAAGTGATTGAGGTTTTATGATCATCATAATTTATGTGATTTTACGGTATATTTATTTGAAAACTTCTTAGGTATGATTAAATTAGATTAAATATTGACTTAATGCAAGGTTGCACTTATTTACCATTTTACCATGGTGAGTGGCCACTACTTATACATCTTTGAGCTCATTACACATAACCAAAACATTTGCTCAGCCTTTTCTCTTGAGTGTATAGCCGACCATGAGAGGGAGAGAGTGAGAGAATTTGGATTTCATCTTGAATTGCTTGGTAATTGAAGTGTAGATTGCTACTTTGAGCTCCCAAACCTTGAATACAAGACTAAGGTAGGACATTCATCTTCTTGCTGTTGTCATAGAATTGATTCTTGCATGATTCATGCTTCAATTGTAGAGTTAAGTCTTGGTTTAGTTCATACATGTTGATATAGAGCTCATTTCATGCTTGCATGTTTGAATTGTTGAGTTTTGAGTTGAATTCATGGTAAAATGGTACATGCATGTCCATAATTTTGTAATGGTCCATGTTTTCAACTTGTTTTTGGATCAATTGGCTCCTTAGAGCATCAAATTGGAACTTCAAAATGATTTAAATTCATGCATGTTTGCATGTTCATATTGTTCTTGAAAATGGTTTGAAATTGGATTTGAATTAAACACCCTTGGGCTTTGATTTCTTAAAATTGAGCTTTGAACCATGTCATTCTGTATGCTTACAAGTGTTTTCTGGAAATTCAGCCCAAGAGGATCGGTTTTGATGCATTTAACCTTGGTTTTTGGCTTGGAGGTGAAATCTGGAATTCCCAGATTTTGCACTTCCGCTCGAGCGGGGAAAGTGGCGCTCGAGCGTGGAATCCGAGCATCCAGTATCTCTGCACTGTTTTACAGTCCGCTCGAGCGAAGGATTGGGCGCTCGAGCGGAGGATAGTGTCTCAAGCTCGAGCGGGCGTCGAGCGGAGATTTCACCCATCCAGTACTTTTACAGTACGCTCGAGCGGGAAAGTTGACGCTCGAGCAATTGAATGAAAATGAGTTTTGGATAATTTTGTCTCAATGCAAATTTCACATATATGATTTGAATCAATGTCAAATTTAGGTAAACATTCCATATTAATTAATCTACGCAAAGATCTATAATTAACATATCCAAGTCTACCATGCCATAAATTTGAAGACTCAAGCAAGTAAGAAAAATATGTATTTTTATTAATAATAGAGGATTCAACAGTCGTTACATTCATTTTGAAATTGCCACCCTTTAAAATGATTTGTAACCCAAACAATTTGAGCATACAACTCAAAACTGTTTCTATTCAACAGCAGAGTTTATTATCTTGCCTCCAGCATTGGTATTTCCAAGGTCCTCATACCTTTGCAGTAGCAAGTGTTTGAGGAAGATTTTAGTGGTCAATGGTGAAGTTTTTATTGTGACTGCTACATTGTGGAATAATATTTAGTCTTAAGATGGCATTTTCTCTACCTGTTTCGAAATTTCTGTTGAAATACGTAATTTCATTTAATCTAATCCGTACTTAAAATGTTTTCATGGTTGGGTTGGGCTAGAGGGCCTAGTAATTTGATTCTTCTTGTTTCAATGAAATTTGCTAGATCAGGTTGATAATTGAAATGAAACCTGTTTCTGATCTGTGTGTGTGTTTTTTGTGTGTATCAAATTGAAAAGCAAATAAATACCCTATTTATATTTTCCAGACCAGGTCGTGTAATGATTTTGAAATTTTCTGGCCCACTCAAGTGCACTTTGGGTGAAGCTCTCAGGATCTCTCTCTGCATTGTTGAATCATCGCCTGCCTTGCTCGAGCATGCATTGCCCAAACAATAAGTGTTTTCTTTAGTGGCATTTGATTTAGAGAAGAAAAAGGCTTTAAATTTAGTGTTTTTTTTTTTTTGTTTTTTTCCTCCCTTTGAAGATTATGAATTAATTAGTTGTTAATTATATACAATAAATTAGGACATGTTTTGGATGCTGATCATGGCAACATCTCCTGTTCAATGCCATTATTGATACTTAGGGGCAGGTCTGAAGTCCGAACTTGTCATGCTATGTATAGCATGCACGGAGACCTCTCCTCAATTTTTTGTTTTTATTTATCTATCTATTTATTTAACTTGAATGTTTTGATATCCTGATTTCATTAGTTTGTGCATGTGTTTTATTGAGTTTATGCCCTTTAAATCTCTCTTTCATTCTATATCTCTAACAATGCCCATAGTTTCGTACTTACCTAGTCTTTTATTTGGCAGAATGCTTGTAAGAATGGATGGTTTGCCGACAAGGATTCCGAAGAACTTCTTAGTCTTGGAGATGAGGTTTTGCAGTCTACTGAGTCTGCTTGACTTTTTTGTGCAATTCTTTTCCTACTTATATCTTATAAGTTTTCTTTCTGCATATTTAGATAGGGAGCAGCTTCTGCAGTGTAAGAGATATGAACACTGAAGCGAACAATTATCTCCAAACTATCTCAACAATTATGTCAAGGTAGAAACTTTTTTTGTCCTCTACCTCCCATCCCCTTCCTCTTTGGGTGTAAGTTATATTCTGTTGTACATATATCTTTTACTAATATGAGATTAATAGAATACTAATTTTCTTTTAGTTCAATTTTTCCATGAAATACTGTGTGTATCATAGTGGTTACTGAAATTACATGTTTTATTACAGTCTACCTACATTGATGGTTGGAAAAGTCTCTCATTGGCTTGGTTGTTTCAATCAGACATTTCTTCTTAATCTTCCTAGTTTTTTAAAAGCCAATTATAGGCAGAGTCTTGCGCAAGGCTGTATATGTACCAAAGTTGACTGCTATTATAGGGGATCAATTATCTTTCTTTGGTTATTTTTATCCATTGTATGAGCTAGGTCGGTGGAAGACAAGATGTATGCTGCATCTCCTGACTAGTTCACCTTTTTCTAGTTGCAAGGATGCAATATTTAACCATGTCATGTTCATGAAATATGAATATTTGTCTTCCAATGTTCCAAACACCAGCATGATAGGCCTAGTAATGTGAATCTCTTATTCCACTTCACCCCTTTTGGACCAGGGGTGCAACCTGTGTGATGGCAGGCCTCTTTTTCCCCCAAAATTGATGAGAAAAATTTGTAGTTGAGGCCATATTATTGGAAAGGCCAAGGGTATTGTGCAGACATACAAAATCATATACCTACCTAATCTAAAAAAACCAAGCTCTGACCTGCATAGCCTATTTATGTCGGTATAAGCAAACTTAGTGTTCAATGACACTCGTCTTGTTTGAGTTCTGTGTCTCTTCTATAATATATTTTTTTCCATAGTGGTCAAAAGTTGACCAATTGTCAGATCGAGTTTCTGTATTATGTTGTTATGCATTGTACAAAGGCCAACTTATGTGAACTAAGGGAGGGGATAAATTTGTTGCATTTTATTTTATTTTTTTACTTTTTTACAAATAACATTTTATGATAGCCTTTGTTGGTGAGTGAGCAATTATTATGTTTATTTTGGCATTTTTCTTGGTCAGTTTCGTGACTGTTTATCAGGAAGTGTGATTAAAATGGTTCGAAAGCACGGACCCTTCTAAGAAGGTGACGTATCCGTGTCATGTCCGTGTCGGACACCGACAGTCTTAGGACACGTGTCCGACACTCTTCAAAACGTATCCGTGTCATGTCCTGCATTTTTTGAAAATTAATGTGTCGGCGTGTTTGTGTCGTATCCGTATCGTGTCACGTGTCCGTGCTTCTTAGGTTCGAAGTGATCGAGCTTACAACTAGGCGTCTAATTAAACCTGGTTTTGTAGCTTATTGAGTTTTCTTTTTACACAATATGCTTTAAGAATATTTCCACATGGACAGATGTTAAATCGTTGGCCAATGATTAATTACATTCATTACTGAATTATATGCTTAGAATTGTCTCTCTGCACGCAGATTCTATCCACGAATGAAAATGGGCCAGATACTTGCTTTTCTTGAAGTTAAGGTTGTTTTTTCTTTTCCTCTCATACCTAATTATTCATTTACTTTGAAGAACATAAGTTGGTAATAATTCTGTTCTATATTGTAGCCTGGCTATGGGACATTTGCATATGATTTCCATATTTTGAAGAATGCAAAACCTTCTACAGAAGATAAAGTGGTAAGTATTGTTTAAACCATTTTGGATAACACAAATAAAGTTCTATATGCTCAGGCAAAGTCTTTGTGATTTATGAGATATATTTGATTTCAGTGGAAATGTTTTACCAAGGTTCCTATATTTATAATCCTCTTTGCTCGACCTAATTTAATTGGGAAACATTCTGCTATGTGACAAACCCACCAAACTTGTGTCGCTGAAATGCATGCTACTACCTTCTCGAAATTATTTAAAATAAGGCCATCATGTAGCTGTCGTCCCATGTATTTGAGGTATTGGAAGGGCTGAGGGTTATAAGGGATGTGGAACTAGCTTAAATCATGTGAAATGGCTGACATGCTTGACTGTTTGAAATTTTACTTCTGCACCAAACAGTGGCTCTATCTTTCAAGAAGTTATAAATATTCTCTTCTTAAGCTACTTCTTAATTAATATTATGTACCTTTCCTTGAAAGTCCACTCCATTTGACTTTTAGGATCACTGTCCAGCTTTCCTTCCACACCACTTTTTATTGCCTAGCTTAATTCATGGGACCATTTTTGTTAAACATAATTATCCAAGTTCAGTTTTCTTTTTCACCTGATTTGTAGCTTTTCTTCGTACTCGATGTATTAATGTAATTAATTTAATATATATGTCATAAGTCTTGCTTATGTTCCAAGAAGCAACTGTAGATTGGAGCAATATTTGTTTTTTTCCAAGCAATCAGGGCTATCAAGAATTTTCTCAGTTTTTGTTTATTTATTTATTTTTCCTATGGCATTGTCATGAACACTGTTGTGCAAATAATCGGTATGATCAGATGGATTGAGACCATAATACCTGTCCATTGTGGGTGGCAAGGGGATCAGTAGGTTGTGGAGCCCTCTGGGAAGTGACAGGGATATATCAGTGTTTTCTGATTCAATTTTTTTGATTCCTCATCTTGTTATTTTTCCTATCTATTAAATGGTAAAAAATATTTATTGAAAGCACTCAGTGGGTTGCTTGCTTAGTTAGTTTGCCTTTGTTTTTCCTACAGCGGTTATTTGTGGCTCAAACAGATAATATTGAGACATCTTCATGTATCACAACACCCCCACAAGTGAAGTATGACCTTTTTTCTCCCTTTTTTTTGGCTAAGTTGAATTATTACATTTTCATTCTGACCAACTTTTTGTTGTTTAACTTCTGTAGCTTTCTGTTAAATGGAAAAGGAGTGGATAAAAGGACTAATGTGTTCATGGTTTGTGCTTGTTTAGTTTTGGGGAAGTTATTTTATGTGACAACATTATGCACAATGAATGCAAATTGTAACAAACATTTTGTGTTTTCCCTCACCCCCATTAGGACACTGGTCCACAGCTTCCAACTGTCGTGATGCATATGCTTAAATATGGAACAAATCTTCTTCAAGTTGTGGGTCAGTTTAGTGGTATGCTTGAACATAGGTTTTCTCTTACTTTCTTGTTTTTGTTGCTTGCAATTCATCTGCGCTCTGACCCAGTCTATTGTCTTTGTAAAGGAAACTATATCATAGTGGTTGCCTATATGGGCGTGATTTCAAACCTTGATCGTCCTGTCCTACAAGATTGTGTTCAGCCTGCTGTTGCTGCACTGGATTCAGGTATGCTCATGGAAAGGAATGAGACAAAAAGATAAATTATGCCAAGTGATTTTGTTTTGATTTTTTGATGATTATATATCTTTGTGATGCTTTGAATAACTATTGTTTTTTCTCTCTCTTTGTCATATTAGATTCTGAGATTATTGAAGGGCCATCACGAATTTCACTAAATTGTCCAATAAGGTATGCCATTATATGTGTTGCCGACAAACTTTGCTGTTCATTTATCTTCCGAGGTTGACTGTAAATTGCTCCTTACTTCCCCTCCCTAGTTGTATTAATCTTACATGCAGTTTTTTTGTAACGCCACTTTAGCATATTGCTTTGTCATTATTAAGTTCAAGTACAAAGAGAGGAAATTCAAGCACAAAACAAAGAGATAGAGAAGATGAATGGGTCGATTGACGAGCATTTTGAGATCACATCAAGCATCATGGAGTTTCTTAAGAAGCAAGGTTTCAAAGGACAATTTAGAGGATGAGGTATCCCATGAACTCGTACATCGCCTTTTTGGTAAGTCTCGCTCGCTTTATCATTTTATTTTTCTCATGTTGGTTAGTATATACTAGTTAAAGTAAAATAGTTTGACTACTTATTAACTAAGATTTAACAAGTTTGAAGATGTATTTAATGAAAATAGATTCATTATGAAAATTCTTACTTAGCATGACTCTAGTTAAAATACACACGAACCAAAGTAGAGACAAAACTAAGTCAGATAATAGCCTACTGTTAGGTGTGTTTCTATCTATGGATGTTGGTATCTGTATAGCCTAAGTCACAAGTATCTGTATGCTCTGCTGTTGGTATCATTCTGCTTTGCTGGTTGTATCTCTATGCTGTGTGAGTGGACAGATCTGCTAGGCAGCTGGTCTGGGTAATTTTGCTTCAGTTTTGCTTCAGTTTTGGATGTGAATCTAATTGTAGGCTGGGTTTCGCTGGATATTACAGAAGATTTGTCAAAGATTTCTCGAAAATTTCCCTACCACTTACACAGTTAACACAAAAAGGGACATCATTTGACTGTACTGACCAAAGAGAATCTGCTTTCCAGGAGTTGAAAACTCGATTAGTGACTGCTTTTATCCTGCTGTCTGTTGTGTTTTTTGTGTTCTTGTTGGTCCGTCACCAACAGTTTGGTTTTGGTGCTGTGCATCATCCCCCTCTCCCCTGTCCTTTCTTGTCCCCTTTATTGATGTATTTTCTTCTTCTTGTAAGGTTCTTTCATCAATAAAGTTTTTGTTGATCAAAAAAAAAAAAGGAAGCAATCAATGTTAAAACAAAATAATACGTATAGCAGTGTGTATTATTTTCTAAATTTAGAAGGGAGCTGTTTTTAGGTTTTGTGCGTGGCCTTTTAATGCTAATGTTAAAAATAATAAGCTTATTATCTACATCCATTTTGGTCATTGCTGTCACAACTCACCAAGCTAATGGTCCAGTTTTCCATTTTTTGCATTGTAGGTTGTTGCTATCTCTCTCTCTCTCTTCAAAATTTTTTTAAATCCCATTTGTGCAGCAGCCACAATATTTGTTCCTTCCCATTCTCATTGACTGCATGCTTTGGTTCTTACCATGAGATGTTGTAGTGTTTAAATGGTTTGGCTGCTGTCCGTGGGTCACAGCCAGTTTTTGATCCGAGCATAATTCTAGGGATACAGTGAATTGCCATGTTAAGGTGATCATTGCAAAACCCATGGGTGGGAATGATCATGGTATTCATCTTTTTAGCTAATCTCTGTTAATTTCTATTCAAATAACTTCAAGCTTGTGATCTTGAGAACAGTTCTGTATATTTGTTAAGTTTCTGATATTTGGCTTTAAGTTTATAATAAAACTTTGCTATTATAATAAACTTTATATATATACATTCTATGCTAATGTTTGCCTTGTTTATTTTTTTTGTAGATTGGTTTTGATGACGTTCAGAAGCATACTTGCAAATGAAGATCAACCGTTGAATTTTTTTCCTAAACTGATGCTTAGTTGTAGTTGCAAATTAAGATTGAGTGTTGATTTTTTTTGGTGGACTCCACGTTAGTTTATTTCGGGATTTACTTTGATGGTTTTTTTGTGATACTTAATGGATTATTAGTAAAGTTGTTTGATGGATATATTTTGATTTATAAAATAAATTGTTTAGTGAATTTTTTTGTGGAGTGCTGTATAATAGCTACTGGATTTCTTAGTACAATTAAAAGGCTATTGGGATATGAGCAGGGATATTTGTGAAATAATAATTTAAATTGAATATAAAATATGGAACAAGTTTAATGACGATTTGTTTCGTCATTTGTACTTGTTATTATGACAAAGTGATTATTCGTCACTAATAAACTTTTTTTGTGACAAAATTTACAGCAGTTTATATATGAAAGTTTTTATTTATTTTGTTGTTTAGTGACTAAAAATTTCGTCACGTATATATATATTTGGGACGAAACACATTTCATCACCCATGTATGACTTTTGAAGACAAAAAATTTCGTCACCTTTACATCTTATTGTGACGAAATTATTTCCTCATCAATGATCAACATGTGTGACAAATTTATTCGTCAACTAAAGTTACAAATATGGTACTGAACAACTATTTGGTGACGAAAATGAGAATTTTTAATGACAAAATGTTGTTTTATTGGTGACAAAAAATTTCGTCACTAAAGTAATTTCATTGGTGACGAAATTATTTTTCGTCACGGTGGTTTTTAGTGACAAACATTCAATGACGAAATCGGTGACGAAAATATTTCCTCACAAATATCTATAGTGACGAAATTAGCTCTTTGGAGACAAAAAAATTTCGTCATTCAAGACCCAACTTGTTGTAGTGTTGAGACCTTACTTGCCGACGCCTTGTCCTAATCCAAGGTCCTTACCTGCCGGAGTGCGCATGTCACCTTACTTGCTGAACACCCTTTGTCATGCTCTTGTCTTGTCATTCAGTCACCTTTTTGAGGAAACCCAATCTGGTGGTGCCACGTGCCCTAGCAGAGGGTTAAGTCAACCGGCAGTGAAAAAAAACATATCATTGTGTGTCATATTTGCATGGTAGAGAGAGAAGCTCTAGGAAGAAGAGGAAGAAGTTCATAGAGTGAGAATAGATTTCCAAGCTTGATCCTTAGAGTTTGAACCATTGGATTGGTGTTTTGAGGTTAGATTCTTGTTTTCCTCTTGTTGTTCTTTATGCTCATCTAACTACATTGTATGATCTAGCATGATTCATGAGCCGTGCATTGCTTTCAAATTCGGGTTTAGAAAGAGAAAATGATGTTCTTGTGTTCTTTAAAGAAAACCACGTTTTGATCCGAAAGTTTGTATCAAGATCCATGTTTTTGTGTTTGTTTTCATAAGATCTTCAAGTATGGGTGCCCAAGTCCATGTTTTCGAACTCATCTCATGAAATCCCAGATTTTGAATAAAGAAGTTATGATTTTAGCATTCATGTTCTTCATGTTCTTGTCTTTCATGTTCTTCAAAGGGAAACCCAGGTTTTCCCGACTTCATTTCCTCGAATGTGGCCATTGGGACCATACCTCGGCCAAGGGGTGTGGGACCTCGGCCAAGACCTGGTTGGTACCTAGCATGTTTTCCCCGAGATGAAAGACAGTGTTTTAACTTCAAGCATGTTTTGCTTTGACTTGACCTAGTTTTGAAAGAAATGTCGAGATCCTTTTCTGTCATGTAAAGCTTGTTCTAAGGGTGCATTTCATATCCATCTTTGAGCATCTTATCTTGTCTTCTTGAAATGCATTCAATGGAATTTATTATGTGCATGTAGGCCTTGGATCCTTGCTTGTAATCCCCTCACCCGAAGAGCTATGTGAGTGGTATTTTTAATAAAGTTATGTAATAAAGTTTTGATAAAGCCTTGATTCGTTTTGGAAAAGTATTTGATCAAGCATGAATGATTGTCCATAGTTTTGTATCTGGTATTATATTTGTTTTGATGACATTCTGGGAAAGTCCTTAGTGCCAAGGGACTATAATGCAACTTTACCCTTGTTTTGAAAGTCCTTAGTGCCAGGAGACTATAATGCAACTGCACCCTTGTTTTGAAAGTCCTTAGTGCCAGGGGACTATAATGCGATTGCACCCTTGTTTTTCCACTGACGATTTTTCGCGTGGGTTTGTTTGTCCGAAATGTCATCCCTTGTACTATATTGATGCTTGTAAGCATCCCTTCAAGCTTTGAAAGATTTGACAGATGGACTTGGTTCATCCTTTGATTTTGTACAAGATATGCTATGTATTGTTTGATAAAGATCTTGATTATCAGTCATGCAAACCTTTATTTCTAATATCATTCACTGAGTATCCAAGCTCACCCTCTCCTTATATATATGTAGGTGACGAGCAAGAAGGCGGTGACGCCTAAATGTGTTTTGTATGATGTTTGGATTCATACTTTTGCTAGCATCTTGAAGATTATGCTTCTTGGCTTTGTATTTCACCTCCTTTGTATATGTCGGCTTGAGAAGCCTTTTGATCAAGATGTAATATGTACTTTATTTTATCTTTATTCAAGTTATAGACCATGTTAAGATGTATGTCATTTCATTTAATCTATGCATAGCTCTTATGGACTAATTAGATTGAAATTTATTGCTTCCGCATATGTAAGCCCCGTATGTATACTCTGTTTGTGTGTGAATCCTTGTAAGTTGGCCTTTGGTAATCTCAGATTACTGGCCATCACGGCACCGTTCTACTAGGGGTAGAATGGGGTCGTGACAGATTGGTATCAGAGCACCGGTTCCTTGTAGTGCGTTACTCACACACACTTTGATTCCTAAAGAGCATAGGATGTCCCTTAGAATGATGTTATGATTGCATCATATTGCTTGCTACTTGACAAAGTCTGCATCATCTCAGCATAATTATTTGTTACTTACATACATGTTTATTTGCTCATTTTGTTTTAAAGTCATATTTTGCATACTCCTAGCATCATGAGAAGGGGTAGACCTCCGGTTGGCCGAGATCATTCTGAGGACAGATTGGACAGATTAGAAAGATTGGTCGAAGGTTTAGTCCGTGAGTTGAGACAACCTAGGCCGCAAGACACTAGCACCACCTCTACTTAGGCCGAACAGACAAACGGCCGACATGCAGCTCCGCCTCCACCTCCACGTCCCCCAGTGCCGCAAGTGCCTCCACAGCAAGCTTTATATGGGAACGGTACGATAACCTTAATCAAAGAGTTCAAGAAGATGAACCTACTGAGATTCCAAGGGGGTATAGAGCCGATGAAAGCCAAAGCATGGGTTTTGGAAATGGAGAAGTTGTTCAAGATTTTTC